ACCTTCGTCATAGTGCCACGACGTGCGGCCTAGAATTAGCACACGTGCCTCTGTTCGCTAACACTCACACATTGAATTGTCACCGCCAGTGAGTGCGAGATAGGGCTGGCCGCTGGCGGCTAGCCCGTGAGGAGGGCGACCATAGACACCTCACTAACCCCACACACGGTCTCGTCCGTGCCTCGCCGGCCGGCGAGATTGCTAGAGGTGGAGCAAGCCTGCTCTAGCCTCGCATATTACCTCCTGTCGTCTGTTGTGATGTTGTGCCCTGGGGAGGGTGTCTGTGGTGGGCTGTAGTCCTACTACGTGGTTACAACCACGCGCCCCTCAGGAGCTTAAGGTAGAGCTGAGCGTCCTAGACGCCTCGGTGCCTCCCACCGGGTGAGACCATCCGGATCTGCCTGCTGCGCCCTCTCTCTCTCTCTCTCTCTCTCTCTAGCCGTGACATGTGGTTCCACCACCCCTCGTAGGCTTTGCCTCTGACCGCCACCGTTCCCAGGCTGCCTAATGGGATGGAAAGGAAGGCTCGGCGAGCGTATAGAAGCGTGCTCGACCTCGTCGTGGCAGCCTGCATGGCAGCGCTGGCGGGCGCGATGAGCGTCGTGCCACCTGACCCGAGACGGGTCGCAGGCGTCGTACCGAGCGCGTCGAGACCGTGTCCTGATGTGATCTGCACGGGTGAATCACGTCGGCGTCAAAGGAGGGACGTGCGACCTGTCAGAGCTTGATCTCCGATCTCAGCGGCGTCGAGTCGCCTTCGGCGCGCGACAAAGGTACATCCCCAGGACGCGCAGAGGCAGCTGCGATCCAGCCGAGTGGACGGCGGCACACCGCGCCACCTGCTGTGTGCCGCCGTCTACTCGGCGGGGTCGCAGCTGCCTCTGGAAGGCACCGACATGTACCTTTTTGCGCAAATGGTCAAAATCAAGGTTTTGTAACGCGGGCTGTGCCACAATGAAATGGCACTACCCTTTGCAAACGAGGACGCCCCGCGAGGCCCCGTCGGCCGGGAGTGGTGAGTGGGACCATAAACAAGCACTATATCCCCTACCGCGACCAGCCCACACACAGCCCAAACCGCTGCCAAACCGGCCCTGATCACGCCGGCCGGGAGGCTGCCGGGGCGCCCAAACAGTCCCTCACGAACGCCACACGGGACACCACGGCCCGTCCGGCGGCCCGAGTGCCGCCCCACACCCGCCCGACGCCCTCGGCCAGCCAGCGCCCACTCTGAGAGGCTTCACCGCCGCCAGCGCGCCGAGCGCGCCGCCCTCTCCTCGCGCCACACGGGCCCCTGGCCGCACGCCCGAGAGGCGGCCCATAATTTGAGTCGAGACGCGCCGCCGGCCAGCCAGCAGCTCGCCCGCCACCCGCAGAGTGCCGCCGCCGCCCCCAGCCCGCACTGGAGAGGCTCTCCCGGCCGCTAGCCGCTGTCGCGTCGCCCGGCGGCTGCGCTGGCAGCGTGGCGGTGAGGGCGGTGGAGGAGATGGCGGCGGCGGGCTGGGCGGTGGCGGTGAGGGAGCTGGCGGCGACGGGGGCGGGGGTGACGGTGGCGGCGGGCTCGGTGGCGGCGGCGAGGGCGGCGGCGGCGAGGGCGGCGGCGGTGAGGGCGGAGGGGGAGAGGGCGGGGGAGGGCTCGGCGGTGGCGGAGACGGGGGTGGTGGCGAGGGCGGCGGAGGCGAGGGCGGGGGCGGGCTCGGAGGCGGTGGTGACGGGATGGCGGCGAGGGCGGTGGCGGCGAGGGAGGCGGCGGCGATGGCGGGGGCGGGCTTGGGGGCGGAGGGCTGGGCGGTGGTGGTGATGGTGGCGGAGGGCTGGGCGGCGGCGGGGATGGTGGCGGAGGCGACGGCGGCGGCGGCGACTGCGGACGCGGTCTTGGCGGGGGCGGGGAGGGCGGTGGTGGCGAGGGAGGTGGTGCCGATGGCGGCAGCGGTGATGGCGGCGTCGGCCACCGAGGGGACGGTGAG